ATATTATTTGGTCTTATTATTGTAAACTTAATTAACTTAATTAATTGATAAAATTGATGTTCAAGAATAGTTCGTTCAATTGATATTTAAAAATAATCCATAAACCTTTTCCCTTTAATAAAAATGATTTATTTGGATTCTGAGCGTAATATAATAATTTATTTTTATGTATGGCGTGCAAACTTAAAGTGACAGATTGTATTCAAATAAGGCATTCTACAGAAAGACTGATTGATATATAAGTTTATGACATAAGCCAAAAGCACAAATTTCAAATTTAAAAAAAAACTTACGTATTTTCTACAGTTCATAATATGCAAAGTGAAGTAAGGGACGGCAACAGTACAGTTTGTAGTGAAGTGAATAAGAAAGCAAACAAAAAGAATGCATTTTGCATGATTATACTTCAATGCAAGAACGGACTAACCTTCAATTCTCGTAGACGCCTTCTGGCAAGCCACTGCCGTACTTGACATTGTATCATAATAACTTTCTGTTTGCGTTCACTTTGTTCACGTCTTACACGCCAACCACGATAGTACTTTTGAATAGTTATTGCTTTTTGCTCGTAACGCAGCTTGAATTTCAATCAGAAAATTATCATATTATTATGTTAAAATCAAAAGTGAATTATAGAAATTCCGATTTTTGAAGACAATTCTGAAGCAAAAGAAAGAAAGTATTGCAAATAACTGATAAATTTGGAATTTTCCTCCGTAATTACAAAGATAAATGATTAAAATTCATATTTCTTTGCTATATTAATTGCCTTACTAAGAAAGTTAGTAGTTAATTTTTTTGTTGTTCAAATAATTAACGCAGAAATTACGACTACTTTTACTCACTTCGTTTAATAGTCATTCTGATTTTCTTAAATGTTTGTTGTGAAAGATGAAAGTCAACTATTTGCCACTGCTTTTTCCTACTGCAAGATCTAGACTGATATCAGTATTAAGTTAATAACATGATTTGAAACAAAACAAAAACATTACATGTAAAAAAACATTACTAAACTGAAAAAATATCCAAAGTTAACAATCTAATTGATTAGGTCAGTGATGAATCTAATACCAATCTTAAGTTATAACATGACTTAAAATCGAAATAAAATCTTTTTTGTACTGAAATGAAAAAATATCTGAAGTCAACAATCTAACTGATTAGGCCGATGGTAACCTTTGCGCATAATTACAGCAAAAAGATGACCTGACAATATTTGACTTCAAAATGGGAAACTGCTCATCATGTACACAGAAAAATTCTATAATTTGTAACAACAATAATAATCAATGATTGTAAGGTGCATATTCAGCAAAAACTTAAAAATTTCTGTAATGAAAAAATTGAATTGAATAATTTAAAATCCAAAAAAGGATAATTAATAGTATATCAAATCCTCTGAATTATTAATATCAGTCGTTAATAGATATATTAAAAATAAATACACTGCAAAGAAATTACATAACTATAAGAATAAGTGGCATTAAGTTAAGTATAGAAAATAGAAGCAATTTAAAATTGATGAATTAATACATTAAAAAGAAATAAAACTATTTCAGTACTTGGAATATTTAAGGGTGGTTAATTCGAGTGTCTAAAATATTGCTTGAAAATGTAAAATTTTGATTCTAAAGCCGTATATTGCTTGAACAGGTAGGAAAGGTAATGACAGAATCGACCTTGGAATAATGTCCTTATAATTTTGTTTGATCTGTTTATAATGCCTGATCAAAAGTTTACCAAAAATCCTTACAGATATTTTGCATAATAAATACAATACTGCAAACTTCTCTGACAATTTATGTGAATAATTGTCAAAAGTTTGCAAAAAACTATTCTATTTGCCTATTCATTAAATACTTTTTTAAGTTAATTACTGCAAGAATGCAAATTCCAAAATATTTTTTAAACAAATTTTTTCTTTCATTTTGGAAAAATTTATTAGTGATTAAGTAATAATACTGCAACGAACATTGATAAAAATCATATATATATATTCAGAAGTCATTAATGAATCTAAAATGAATGATTGCATTGTTAGATGGAAAATTTTGAAAAAAATGTAAGTGATTAAATAATTAATTCATTTCAGTTTCTTTCTTGCGCTCAAAAATTTAGGCATAATTATGCATAAATGCTTTATCCTCTTATCAGATTTAAAGGTTGAATGATATTGTCAAACATTCAATGCCTTTCTTTAAGATAATTTACTATAAAAATTTAATTTGATTGTTTGCTGAAATTAGCTCACGTAATTAACTTATGAATTCTTTTGTCACAGCATTTAATCCTTCACTCTCCATTTTAAAACCATAATCCTTTCTATTATTAGAATCTTTAAGTAAAAAAGTCACGAGTTTTACACTTACTTTCTTCACTTTTTGACGTATTAATGATGCTCGATAATGAGTTTGTATCATAATTACAGTTGATCTGAGTAAATTATATCGTCGTCTTGCACTATAACTACGAAACGCAGTTTGTAAACAAATAATTGCCCGATGCATTTGAAGATATTTCATGCGTCTGTACATAACAAATGCTAAGCAATAAATCTGTAAGATTACTTGAGTTATTTTTTGATTTTTGCAATCGATCAAATTAATATTACTTAACGTTGAATATAATTACGCACAAATTCACTGCTATATCGATAATACTATTAAGGTAATTTATTTTTTACTAAAATCAAGCGAGAATTAAATAAGTAATCAGTATAATATATTTGAATATATTACCTGGATTTTAGCAATAGATTCTTTGATGAACTGATATTTCTTGCGAGCACTAAGACCCTTCCAAGTTTTTTGAATCAAAACTGCGGAACTGGTCAGTTTTTCATGTAATATTCTTTCCAGCAAAGCTACTTGTCCTGTCCGAAAGAATACTTTCGTCTTACCCAAAGCATACATTTCACTCTGAAACATCAGTGTATTTTGAAGTCCACACCTTATGAAACTGAAATGAAACATTCATACATCCAAAATGTGAATATCACTGAGAAATTTCAGCCTAAAATTAAAAGATGCACAAAAAGAGTCATTTTCAGCTTTGTTAAAACTCAATCACGAATGGATACTTTATTGAAATTCCATCAAAAATCTTCAGTATCACTGAATATCAAAATCTACGAACATAACGATTTTTATCAAAATTATCATCATTATCAACTCAAAAATTAAGCATGCAAATGTCTGACAGAATGATTTTTTGTACAAAAGCAAACATTTGTAGATTAATATTGAAAATTTATTATTCAAAGATCATTCAAAAAAAAAATTAATTAAGAGCACAATAAAATGCGGACTATTGTACATGACCAAACGGTAATGTTTGATTGTAAGAGCTATAAAAACATACTGCCAAATATTTGCTACACGCATGTTCCGCAAAACTTTTAGGATTCTCACGCCATAATTTTTTTTGTGGATAAAGAACGCGATATCTTCTTGCAAAATCATCATAATTCCACCTGTTGTAATATAAACATAATTCTTAAATCGAAAACAAAACAAATATTTAACTATATGAAAAGCATGAGAAATTTATTTTTCAACCATTTTTGTTTGCCATTATGCAGTTTAGCTTATATGAGATAAATTACTGTCAAAATATACTTCACCTCGATGGATAACCAGCAGCAGAAATGCGTACAGTTTCTAGTACACCACAAGCCCGTAATTGTTGAATAGCTCGTTTAGGTTCAAATGTGAAAGGTAATTTATCATCGTTTGGCTTAATACAACGTACATAATGTGGACGTGTACTGCCTAGCACTGCCATAAGTTCTCGAAGTGAATCTCGAAACTAATAAAAATTATTTGATATTCATGTAAAAAATAGTTCTTCAAAAAAAGGTCATAATACTATTTATTTGCAAAGCTGTATGGAAAGTACCACTAAGAAATGGATTAGCAATAAGTTTCAAATACGATAAGTTTGATAGATTGCATTTAATTTCAGTATATAAGTATTCCTAATAATTGTATTATCGTTACTTGACTTCAACTTTTACTTAAAATTTCAGTAATTTTTATTAATTAATGAAATTTGAATTATTTTCATTTCAATGCAACATTTTTGTTTGAGAATCGAAAATATTTCTGTTGTAGTAATTGAGCTCTCCTGCATCACATTCAGTTATTATTATTCAATTTAAGTACTCAGTTATGATGCTAATATCTTTTCGTTTTCACAAAATTGCAATAGTATTTGTTAAATATATTTGAGCTTTAATTTTTTCTTCCAAAAATGCATCAATTTTTGATGTATTCCCTTAATATATTCTATAATTCCCTTAAACCTTCAAGCACAAAACTACTACAATAAAATTGTTGTTATATTAAATTATAACACATTTTCCTTTTTTCTGCGAGGCAAGCATTTCAACTATGAATGCATATATGCAAATGATAACAGATTTGTCCACCTATTGATGGACACATCGCAAATATTATTAACCTTAAATGAAACGCATCTTTTCAGCGATATTCTGACATTAGCAAACTGCTTTCTGTTATTATCCTTCATTGGTATACTCCCAATTTCAGCATCGGATACTATCTCATGCAGTAGATCAAACTTCAAAATGAACAATTTGTAATTACAAATACAAATTCATCCATTTTATGCTATTGTACAAAAACTACTATATTAAATAAAATCGACAACTTTAATAGTGAATCT